CGACCTCGTCCATTGTGCGACTGACGCCGCCAACGTTAACATGACATTTACATCGCTGTTACTGCGTGCGTTTTGTGTGGGTTTCCGGCAATGAGTGGAATTACCAAAATAAAAAAAAAATTATAAATGTGTTTTTTGTGTGTGTGTGTGTTGTTGTCCCAACAACACATAAAAACAGGTTTTATAATAAAGCAACTCACATACAGAAACACTAAAGTTAGAGATTAAAAATGAGATTAACGCGATTAAAAAACATAACGAGCTAAATATGACTGTAATTAATTAATCGCAATTAACGCGATAATTTGACACCCCTAGAATGAATATAGTGATTTCATTGATCTAGTATTTCATGGGTTATGGTTAAAAATATAAAAATCTGTAGAAGTTAAAATAAGTTAGAGATAAAAAGAGATTAAAAACAGTGATTCATTTATGTAAATGTCAAAGGTTAAAAAGATTTAAAAAGTGTATTTACATTGATTTTACAAATATGTACAGATGTTAATATTCATGGACTCATGTCACTTGGATTGTATGTTATGTTATGTGCATGAGAGGAAGAAACAATCTTCTATTGTGAAGTAAAGCAGCTCAAAATGTGCTCTGTCTATTCTTTATTAACAGGCTTACTTCACCAATGCATATGCCCTCTGAAGCGTTTGTCAGAGGAGCAACACAAACACATGAGGGATGCTCGAGCGTCGGAGTCATGCATTGCTACACATGAACAAGAAGACCTGCTTTCTCTGCATCTCTCGGAATGTGCATCTACAAATAACACAGTCATTAAAAACTAACTTCTCTTTGTTTCTTTGAATACAATCGAACTCTTGCTCAGCAAGTTATCTAGTTAGTGAGTGAGAGTGTTTTTTGTTTGTTTGTTTGTTTGTTTTTCATTTGATTTTGCTATGGTCAATTTAACATACTGCTCTTCCTTCGAATGAGTGACAAGTGCAGCTCAGTTAATGCTACACAGTCACGACAGCATAACCAGGCCAGTAAGATGGAATCAGAGCTGGAACGTCTTTACATGTAGCAGAGTGAATTAAGGGGTTATTACAAGTAACCTACAGTTGGTGGATGATGAAATAGTGAAATGACTAACCAAGATGCTGTGGTGAGTTTATTTTACTTTCTGTGGAGTTTGATGATGAAATTTGTTAAACACTGAGTTGAGGCAAGTTAGCTTGTAGCCCAGGCAACATAATATGGTTAAGTGTATTTTTCTTTGTTCATAAAGTGTTTTGTGGCTGCTCTTTTCTGTTCTTGTTTACGTGATCAGCTGTTCACCCCGTCAGCTGACGCGCGCGCCTAATAGTATAAAGGGACACACGTGTGAGCGCGCGCGCGCACGCCGCCCCAACTCACCGCCGTGCAGCTGGCGCGTGTTCGGGATCTGAAAGGACGTAACACGGATCACTAACTGACGTACCGGTTTGATCCACGTATACGGTGATCAGATCGACAGGTGAGAGCTTTCCATGTGCTTTGCCTTAGCGCGTTGATGGAGGAGTGCCGAACGAGAGCGCGCGCCGCCGCTGCGGCCCTTTGGATATACATTTTGTTTGAAGATCGTTACTTTGGGATTTATGAGACTGTTTTAAAGGAGTGCGCTGGAATTCGGTGACTCTGAATTAAATAAATTCCTTGGAGGAAAGAGTGTTTGGGGCGTGCGCGAGGACAATTAAAACTATAAGCGGGTGCGATGATGAACTTAGGATGTGGCAGTGTGGAAATAAGCGGAATAATATAATTTCAATTTGAGACAGCCATACCTTTGCCTTTGTTTGATTTTATTTATTATAAGCAGACTATTATAGTTATAGGTAGTTTTGCGTTTTGAGAAACAATCAGTTACCCAGATAATTTCTTTTTTTGGTAATCTCCTGCGCTCAGTGTGGGTGTTACAAGCTAACATTAATCCTTCAGTAAAACAACTTTTACATGAGGTGTAATGATTTTTTTTGTAATGATTAGACTGGAAAATAGAATTCTTTTCTTGAAATTTTGAATTGAATTGATCTAAATCAGGGGTGTCAAACTCATTTTGGTCCGGGGGCCGTATCCAACCTACTTTGATCCCAAAGGGGCCGGATCAGAAAACTCATGTCATATAAACCCCAAAAATAACAATAAGTTCAAATATTTGTGCAGAGAAACACAAATCTATTACAGAAATCTTTTTTAATTGATGAACTCTTTCTTTTACTAAATATTATAATATTATGAACAACCTGAAACTTTAAGAAAAATGCAATTTCAACACAATGTTTTAACATGAACTTGTATGGAAATGTAAAGGATGTAAAGGAATAAGTCTATTTTTTTTTTATATCCTGCACTCGGCTCCACTTTTCTCATGTTGGACATTTTTCTGATGAGGGTGTCACGGTCAACAGTCAAAACGATCGTCCTTTAAGAGCATTTGGAAAGAGACAAGTCTTCATTTGTGCTGCTCTGGTGGGAGGGGCCACGTACAGAGACGCTGGAGACGCTGCTGTGATAAACACCGCAGAATATTACCAATTACCAATATTTTAAAGAAAATATCATTCAAATATTTTAGTAGAAAATCAACCAAGGGCCAGATTAAAGGTCTTGGAGGGCCGGATCTGGCCCCCGGGCCATATGTTTGACACCTGTGATCTAAATTGTCTGTCTGTGGGTGTCTGCTCTTTACTGCCTCCACAGCTGACTCTGAGGCAACCCTCACTCCTCCTGCAAGCCCTCATCTGATACTGCTTGGTAAGCATTTAACTTGAATTGTTTTATATATCAGACTGTTCTGAGACTAGAGATGTGTACTTAAAGGAAATGATGTTGTTGATGTTGCTGTTACTTGAAGTTTCAGATGGAACACTACTGCATGCTGGATTGTCACCCTGGAGGGTTGTGTAATATCTGAGGACATCACACCATCCTTTTTGACGGGACTGGCTGCTGTGTTTGCGATCTACTGTATATTCAACCTTCATTATCGAAAAGAGGCAGCTTGTACTCTAGAATTCAGTCAGAGGTAAGAATCCTTTCTTTTTCTTGTCACCATTATAGATTTTTTAATTTTATTAATTTAATTTGTGAAAATTGAAACCTAAATAATCACAGACCATTCTTTTGCTCACTAACAGGGATAGTTTGAGTTTTTTAACGTAAGGTGGTATTTATTGATAGAGACATGAAATCAGAAATAATAGAAACGATAAGAGGAGGAGATAGACTGAATAAATGATTACACAGAGAGTCCTATTGGATCTACACTCTCAAGGCCACCCAGTTTCCAGGACTCAATGGAGAGTTACATTTCTCCCCCTTCCTTTTAAAACCACAAACTTTAAATGTGTAATCAATTCCTGTTTTACATCTCTGTCTCCGTGTAACTGTGTAACTGTGTAACTGTGTAACTGTGTAACTGTGTAACTGTGTAACTGTCCACTTTCCACATCGATGCATACCAATCTCATCTGCACTTTTCAATATTGTATCTACATACATGCATGTTGCTTTGTCATGTTGTTGTGTTACTGTAATTGACTATGCAGGACTTAATCCAGTTTAAACCAGGTCTAAATCAGGATTTAAACCAGGTCTAAGCCAAGACTGTAACCAGTTTAAACCATGACAGCTCCAGGTCTAAATCAGGACTAAACCAGTTTAAACCAGGTCTAGACCAAGACTAAACCAGGTCTAAATCAGGACTTAAACCAGGTCTAAGCCAAGACTGTAACCAGTTTAAACCATTACAGCTCCAGGTCTAAATCAGGACTTAAACCAGTTTAAACCAGTTTTAACCAGATCTAAATCAGGACTAAACCATTTGTAGGAGACACTTGGGCACAGTGTGCTTGCGCGTGTGTGTGTGTCTGTTCCCTGAGAGGAGGTGGGGTCACGTGAGCGTGGGGTGTGTGTGTGTGTGGGTGTGGAAAAGCATAAATGGTGCACACTACTGGGCCAGGGAGGAGGAGAGAGGTTGGTTGGGTAGCCGTAATTTTTGTTGACCGCTATTGCTTTTGTTTCTGGTTTACGTTTTCAAACAGTATTCATTTTTTACGATATCCTTGCTCTTGGTCCATATACTTACACTTGTCGCTGTGAACCCAGCTCTGTATTAAACCACCGTAAACGCACACTGGATCCAGCCTCATCTGTTTTACATCGCATTCAGCGCGTCATAACTTTTACAGAACCCAATTTTACCTCTCCGCGGCTACCAGGAAACACAGTATCGTATAGCTGCTACACATTACTACTAATATTACTACTAAACTATAATATTGTTAGAATAAAGCTGCTCTGTCAGACTCCTAAAGTCTAATTGTAATGTAGTGTTAACATTTGTTTTTGTCAGTGGTGGAACATAACAAAGTAAAAGTAGTAAAGCACTGTACTTAAGTAAAAATGTAGGTATTTGTACTTTACTTACGTAGATTTTAATGTGGATCCTTTTTACTTTTACTTGACTACATTTGAGAGCAGGTATCTGTACTTTCTGCTCCACTACATTTTAACTGGACTGAAAAGTAAAAGTACTTTTTATTATTTGTTTGAGACCTGCTGAAAATCCTGAGGGGTTTATTTTTAACACATTTATTTAAGGAAACAAAAATGTAACAACCAATAAACAAATAAAAACAAAATTCAGCACAAACCTATGTCAAAATCACTACATTTGAAGTGTTATTAGATCTCAAACTCTGCATGAAATACTTTTACTTTTTACTCTTTAAGTACATTTTTAAATGGGTATACTTTTACTTAAGTAGATTTTTTCATGTGATATTTTTACTTTTACTTGAGTATTATTTGCTCCAGTATCTGTACTTTTACTTAAGTAACAAAATCGAGTACTTCTTCTGGCATTAGTTTTTGTCTTCAGCTTTTTACACCTTCTACAAACCTGGGAGAGTCAGATCTACCTGGAGACTCGTGACGTTTGCGCCGTTCTGAATTCTGATTGGTCGAAGAGAAAAAGGGTTGGACTTTCAAATCGAAAGAGCAAATGAATTTTTCTATAAAGTCTCCGGCTGTTTTCCAGAGGAACTTTCTGTATCTGTGTGAAGAGCTTTGCAGCTGTGTTCACCATGAACATTTGTGCTGTGATCATTCTCATGGGGACACTCGTGAACGGAGCCACGTCAAGTGAGTAGTTTGATGTGTTTTAGTGTGACTCAGAGATAGACCATTGTAGATATAGTAGAAAGTGTAAAGTCAACTATTACAGATGAATAATTACTTGCAAGGCGGAGTTTTGTTTTTTCGTGTTAGTTGGCTTACACGTATAGGAACGATACAGAGGCGGTTTTGAGTATTTACGCAGCTACACATGGCGTTGAAGCTCAGGTTGAATTCCGACTGGTTCATATTAGGCTGTAGATCAGTAGCGGCTGGTCAAGGGAGTGGGCGCACTCCCTAACTTGACTTTGATTAAAAAAAAATGTTTTCAGTTGTTGTTTTGTTTTAGGTTATATATCTCATATTTCGTTTAAATTTGAGCGTGTATCTGCATAGACATGTTGTTATGACGTTAAATGTGCTCATATCACTTTAGTTGATTTATGCGTTGGCCCTTTGAGTTCACTGGGCTGAAGTGAACTTAATGCGGTTCTATGGGAGAGCCTGAAGTCTTGAAAAAAATTGACGTCTGACATTTTCTGCTCATTACTTTACATTGCAGCCCTGACAGACATTTTGGGGGCTTAGCACGGGGCGAACTCAAATCAGTGATTGCTCTTCATAAATGTTTATTACACGCAGAGGGTTTAAGTCTACCTGGTGCCCTGGTCCTAATATGGACTGATCAAAACTTTCAGACTTAAGACCGAAGTGGGATTAAGTCTAGATTTACCACCAGCTCATGCACTTGACTCCCGATCTGTCGATCTGAGCTACCTGTTGATTCGACCTATCTAGCGCTACTGCGCATCCGCAGTACCCCCAATATACTATAACAGTTTAAATGCCGTCGATTTGAGCTCCCAAGGCAGAAGTGGAGTAACAAGTAACATGTTCGATGTATGTAACAAGTAACATGTTAGATTTGTCATTGAATATTTATGTTAGATGATTAAATAGTTTTTAGTTAGATTTAGTTACCATTTTCATTACATCATATTTTATTTTGTTTCCATGTTTAGAAAACATAGCTTTTAGAAAGGCCCTGTATAAATTTCACATGCCTATTATATTAGCATTAAACATTATATTATTACTGTTTAATATAAAGATTTCATTGTTTCCATTAATTTCTTTCTCTTATATAGTGAGCTACCTTTGCCCAAATTCATCTAAATGAGTGAATAATGGTGATTCTACAGTAGGAGCATTATTCGATGGCTAAAACTGGCCTGTCAGTATGTGCTCCCTTTAGTCAGAGCCTTATTTGAGCAGAATACGACTGTCCAAATGAAATGCGTATATTCATATAAATGAGATATATTTGACATAATTAAGGTATAAAGTGTGAGCACTGTGTGCAAACAGCATCAAACCCACATCTCTAATTTAAAGAAATATGTTGTAAAACTTAGGGTTTGGCTTTTTTGTATCTATACACCTGTATTTGGGAAAACATAAGGCCGCATATTTTGGTGGGGCAGTGTGAATCGATAGATGGCACTGTCGATTTAGGCTGCGGGTAGCTCATTTCGACAAAGCAGTCCATTTTGACAGAACACTGGACCTCGTGCCGCAGACCTGACTCGACCCAGAATTGGACCAGTTTGAGCTCTTCATATTGGACAATAATACACTTTTGGAGACAGGGCCAGCAGGACAGTGGATAGAGGATACACTCTGCTTAAGTCGTCTGGAGAAGGGAAGAGGCTTGTTTTCGTTAGTTTGGGGCAAACCTGAGGATGGAACTTCACAGTAAATAGTGCATAAAGGAGCTTGTGGTTGCAACAGAGCTGCTCTGGTGTTGTGCCAAGCGTTAGGGTTGGGCAGTAATACGGTATTGTGGTATCCCGCGGTCTCAAAAAGTAGCAACAGTATCAGTGTTGTTACCGTCATTAAAAAACATCAGCAGCGCATAAGGACCTAATATAATGTGTGAGCGGTGTGTTACGTTGTGTTATTGGGGCTGATTGTGATCGGTGTGTTACGTTGTGTTGTTGAGGCTGGGTGTGAGTGGTGTGTTACGTTGTGTTGTTGAGGCTGGGTGTGAGCGGTGTGTTACATTGTGCTGTTGGGGCTGGGTGTGAGCGGTGTGTTACATTGTGCTGTTGGGGCTGGGTGTGAGCGGTGTGTTACGTTGTGTTGTTGGGGCTGATTGTGAGCGGTGTGTTACGTTGTGTTGTTGAGGCTGATTGTGAGCGGTGTGTTACGTTGTGTTGTTGAGGCTGGGTGTGAGAGGAGGATCAGGTTGCGCTTTTGCCTGTTTGGCTGTGCGTTGGGCTCTTCTTATAATAACCAAACAGTGCAAGCGTAGGACAGGATGATGAAATATGAGACAAATTATTTATACTGATTCAAGATATAGTTCAGCCAATAGTGACCAAAATGACTGTCTGTTTCTGGCATTCGTTATAATACTATATAGTCTATTATAATACATATATTTATAATTTTGGCCTAGGAAAATTATACCACCAGCCGCCACTGTTGTAGATTCGTATCAAGGCAGGCGTTCATTGACTGCTGCAAGAAGCGCAATTAGTAATTAATCCGATTAGATAAGATGAGCATCAAGAGTGTAGTAATAGAAAGATTGACATTGTTGACCCATTTGTGAGTGTTACATTTATTTTTTGACTTCAGCACAAATGCGCCTATTATGTTGAGACTCTTTGGCTGAAGTTACTGTGGAGATTTAAATGCATATTACTTTTCAGTTTGAAAAAATTCTGTGATATTGTGCAGTATTTATATAACTGAGAAATATATACATTTTGTTTCTCACAGCGATTCACAGTCTGATGGAATTTGAAATATCTTCAACTCAAGTCCCAAACTTCCCAGAGTTTGCATTTGTTGCAGTATTGAATGGACTTCCAATCCAATATTATGACAGTAACACCAGGAGAGTGGTGCCCAAACAGGAGTGGATGAACAGAGTGACAGAAAAAGAGGCACAGTACTGGGAGAGGAATGCTCAGAGAGGCTTCAATATAGGACAAATGCTAAAAGGATATCTTGAAATTGTGAGACAGAGACTCAACCAGACTGAAGGTTTGTCTGATTTTCACTTTTATTTCTTTGTTGTATAATTGATTCAGATTTTTGAAACATCCAGGAATAAAGAATATCAAAAAGAGTAAGACTAAAGTAAGTTTAGTCCATGGCCACAGGAACCAAGGGTGCTAAGGGTGCCATGATCCAAGGCCACACACTCAGCAGGTGAGCACACTCACATATAGGCCACACCACACCCACAGTGCTACTCCCAGACACCACAATGTAGAGTGTCAACTTCTCCTGGAGGCAGCCTGAACAGAGGATCTTAAGAGGCTTGGAGAGTTAGAACAGTTCTCAGACATGTCTCTTTATTAGTTCAGGCAGGTACAGGTCTCAAGATTCAAGTTGATTCAGCATGATTCGCCTACGCTGCGTCTCTGTGCGTCGGTCGTCCCTCGACAACGCAGTCGACGTTCCCCCACTGATGCACAGAAAAACTGGGTGCCATTTATACCAGCATAACTGTTGAGTTAACATCTTCATGGAAACATACACAGCAGTTTTGTCCCAACACGTGTCCCATAACAGACTGGCATATGCTAAAGGTTGGAGACACACCCCTTATCTGTCCCATATACATTCACCGTCCATATGACATCATATCCCAACCCCATTGACACTCCAAAGTCCAAAAACATACACAGCATGTTATTTGTGCACAGGGATTAATTACAGGGCCAATTAACATATGAATAAAAACACAGGGTAGAAGCCCACAAGAGCTCAGAACTAAAGCACATGTATCAGTCACAGAGGAGAAACTAGAAAACCCATGTATGGCTTTTACATACTGGCCCCTAATTGCCAGGTAATGACTACCCACCAACAAGTACTTGTAGGATACAGAAAAGAAACCATACTATACCACTAAGAAAAAAAAAAAGTTGTCACTGCTTTTCTGCTTCTCGCAGAAGGCAAACTTTTGTGATTGGTCTGTCCAGAATCCTTATTTTAGTTTTAATCCTCACAGTGTGCACAAGTTCAATTTTATGTGGAACAACATCCAAAACTCATGGTGTATCTCATGAGCTGTGTGGCACCATTTCATCCACAAAAGAAACAGAAAACGCACACCAAAATTCTTGTAGAGGTGCAAATGCAAGGAGTAGCCAGACAAAAGTGAAAGAAATGCATAGCACACTCAGATGGCCGATGTCCAAAAGCTTTTTTATTTTCAAAATAACATTTTCATCAGATATTTTTCTTGCTTTGGACCACAGCACACAATGGTTGCCAGCCCAGGTGCCCATATACCCCTCCAATGAATGGGAGGTCCCAAAGTGAGGTCACCCAGTGAGTTCAACCCACTCTACAACAAGAAAAACTGTTAGATATTTACATAAAAAAAGCATTCTATAAAATACAAAAATAGTTCAAGTAACACTGCCTTTCCCTCTGGATCTCCAACAAAAGGCTCTGCCACAGCCTCTGAGTTTGTCGACAATTTGCTCTTAGTTTCCAAAAGAAAGTAAGGACTACAAAGCCAAGCACCAGTTCTCAGGGAGGACTCAAATTTGGCACCTCTGAAGGCCAAATCTGCAAGGTTGTCCAACGTGTTAACATACACCACTGGGATACATCTGACAACTGGAGAATTTCAGAACCTCTGTTAACAACAAAGATTTTGAACGTCAAGTTCTCATTCTTGAGAAAACTCACGCAAATGGGTCAAAAACCCAGTGTACTCAGACTTGTGTGTCTGTAGGGAAATGATGAAAATTGAGGTGTGGTTGTGTTGTTGATTAGCCAAACATAACGGAACGCAACAATGACATGGAGATGAAGAATACGGCCTGGGAAGTTGTCATTGCATGTTTCCAAATGTCCGGGTTTGTGACGTGTGAATAGAGCCTATTGTTTTCCTTCCTGTTTACATCCAGATCCTATAGTTTTTCTAAAGTTACTTGCAGTGGCCACAGCTTCTGACAAAAAACTACCTCACTAGGTCACAAAGAGCGTTAATCTCACAATAAAAAAATGTACGCCGTTAAAATAGTTTTGTTAACTCGTTAATAACCCAATATTTTTGACAGCACTACAAATGATTTATTCAAAACAGCAATTAGTAGTATTTGTTTTGTGGTATAAATCAGTCAATAAATAAAAAGGCATATAATTTAACTCTAATGTCCAAGATGGAAGTGTCAAAGTGCAGCTCTGACAGTGTTTCTGTTTCAGGACTCCATCTTCTACAGGTGATGGCTGGTTGTGAATGGGACGATGAGACTGATGAGATCAATGGGTATTATCAGACTGCGTTTGATGGACAAGACTTTATTGCTTTGGACTCGAAGACAGAGACATTTGTTGCTGCTAAATCAGAGGCTTTCCCTATTAAACTCCAACTGGAGGAGACTGGAGAAGCTGTTAGTCTGACATATAGAATGACCCATGTGTGCGTTAAATGGCTGAAATGGTACATGCAATTTGAAGATAAACTGAAGAGGAAAGGTAAACTCTGAACTACTGATCACTTCTTCTAAAAGTACTCTAATTACTACTCTGATTACTTTATTTCAAAAGTAATTTGGTGACTGATATAAATTACTTTGAAAAAAAGAAAATTGACAGCTCAGGAACCAACATATGGGTCATTCCACCCCAAATCTCCGAATGCCCCAGCCCGACCATCTCAGATTTGACTGAAAAAATTCTAGGAGGTTCACACACTTTCCAATAGGAAAAGTCCCAAATTTTAGCTCCCAACTCTTTATAGTTTTGTCATTAAAGATGTTTTGTCAGCTCCCCCTCACCTGTTTTGAACAGTTTTTCCGAGGAGCCAGATTTCTGTATCTAAAATACTATTTAAGGTAGGTTCTTCAAATTTTCAAGGGTTAAAATGTGGCAAATGTACTTGTAGAATCTGGACTTTTACATATACAGTCCCTGTTAAAAGTCTTGTCACTTATCCATTTTGTAGAAACAAAAGCTTATAACTTGACTTTAAATTAATCGATTGGTTTTAGAAATGTCTCATATGAAAGCTAAAACCCTCCCAAATTATGCTCAATATACTAAAATAAATTTGATTCACTGAAGAAAGATTGATCATTTAATGAACACAGAAAGGTCAGATTTTGGCAAGACAAAAGTCTTGTGCCTTGTCATATGATGCACCCAATCCTAGATTACAGCCTCACCTGTGATCAGTTACTGATCAATCAATTAGCGGGTGTGTGTATAAAAAGAACCCCAGCACACCAGACCTTCACATCAACTGCAACTTGACCTCTGACAACATGCCTAAGATCCACCCTGAGACCAAAGCCTTAATTATCAAGAGGCTGAAGACCAGATCCACTGCTGAGGTGGTGACACCTTCAATGTGTCTCAGCGTCAAGTACAAAGAATAAGAAAAAGATCTGAAATGACTGGAGATGTTTTTGACAAGCCCAGGTCTGGCAGACCCCGCAAGACAACTGCTCGGGAGGACCGTTTGTTGATTTGAAAATCCAAGGCCAGCCCCTTTTCCACTGCAGCAGACTCCACCAGGCCTGGTCACCTCAAGTCCCTGTGTCAACCACAACAGTTTGTAGAATTCTGTCTCGAAATGGCCTCCATGGTCGAATCAGTGCACAGAAACCAGCACTAAACAAAAGGCAATTAAAAAAACCGTGTGGCATTTGCCAAGGCCCACAGCCTGCTAAAAGGATGGACACTGGAAAAGTGGCAGAAAGTGGAAAAATCTGGTCTGGGGTTATATCCAGTATGGGGGTGTGTGAGACATTTGCAGGGTGGAAGGCAAATATCAATAGCCTAAAATATCAAGAAGTATTAGCTCCTCTTACATTCCCAACCATAAAAGGAGTCAAATTTTGCAGCAGGATGGTGCTCCATCGCATACTTCTATCTCTACATCAAAGTTTCTCAAGGTGAAGAAGATCAAGGTGCTCCAGGACTGGCCAGTCCAGTCACCAGACATGAACATCATTGAGCATGTCTGGGGTAGAATGAAAGAGGAAGCATGGAAGGCAAAACCAAAGAATCTTGATGAACTCTGAGAGGCATGTAAGACGCTTTCTTTTGCTATTCCTGATGACTTCATCAACAAATTGTATGAATCATTGTCGAACCGCATGGATGCGTCCTTCAAGCTCATGGAGTCATACAAGATATTAAATATGGATCTCACAGCACCACTACTTTATTCACTGACGTTATGCAACATATTTTTGTATTTGAAGTAAATTATTTGTTCAATTTTCTGTAGGCGACAAAACTTTTGTCTTGCCAAAAATTGACCTTTCTGTGTTCATTAAATGATCAATCTTTCCTCAGTGAATCAAATTTATTTTAGTATATTGAGCATAATTTGGGAGGGTTTTAGCTTTCATATGAGACATTTCTAAAACCAATCGATTAATTTAAAGTCAGGTTATAAGCTTTTGTTTCTACAAAATGGATAAGCGACAAGACTTTTAACAGGGACTGTATGCTTTTGATTTATCACAGATTTCTGGGGGCTTGAATTTGCTCGAAAATTTTACTCTTCAAATTTGAGGGCATTTTTGATGGACTGTGGAAAGTGCAATTTCAAAGACAGAGGTTTGATATTGAACATACACCTTCCCACACATGCTGTGTACTTTGTATTTTAAAACTGACCCTCTGTGATGAACGCTCTACAAGATATCAAGTGTTAAAAGTGGAAAAAAAAATATTTGGTGCCATCTTTACCATGTTATACAATATATATATATATATATATATATATATATATATATATATATATATGTGTGTGTCTGCATACATGCAGAGCATTCATGGACTATGAAGGCACTTTCAGAAGCTAAGAAAACACACAGCTTAAATTCAACAAAATGCTTGATTTGATTACTCAACTATTGTAAAGTATCTCAACTCTTTGAGGAAACTTTTAGATGTTTTGGTGTAACACTCCTGAATTGTATATAGGTGTCCTGTTATAGTGCTAGAAACATCTATTTTAGAAATGTGTTCAAAACAGGTCAGGGGGGAGTTGACAAAATATCTTTTAATGACAAAACAATAAGGAGTTGGGAGCTAAAATTTGGGACTTTTCCCATTGGGAAGTGTGTGAACTTACTAAAATTTTTTCAGTCAAATCTAAGATGGTTGGGCGGGGGCATTCGGAGATTTGATGTGGAATGACCCTTATAAGTCCATAAAGCAATATTTGTATTGTTTTGGTTCACAACTGATCTGTGTCTGACACAGACGTCCTGCTCTTTTATTGCTTATCTGACTTATGACCCATTTCTAATGGATAACACGCATTTTTGGCAGGAAAAAGTAGTTACCATTAAAACAATGAACTAGTTAAAATGATTCCAGTTTTAAATATATTCCAAAATGTGTCTGTAAATATTTAAACATTTAGGGTGAGAGTGCTGACTGTCAAATGAAATGCAATATCACTCTTTTATTTCATTAAATATACTTATAATATTTGAACTATATTCTGAATGCTGATTGAATGAAAAACAACAATTTGGATTGATTTATTGTGATTAAATGACAGGAACAAACAATGAAATTTCATTGTTTGATTATTTTAATTGAATGAAGGAAACAATTGTTGAAGATTATTACTTATTTTAATTATGTCGAAAACAAAATGATGTGCACATAATTTATCTAACTTAAAAAACAAAAACAAACCTGATTATAACAATAGAACAACCCTGCCTAAAATAAACTGATAATTATAACAATAGAGCTTTTACTTTGAGTCTTTATTAAACATGTATTTCCCAAAGATGTGACTGTACTGAGCTGTGTGATCCTTTCATGTGTTCAGAGCTCCCTCTAGTGTCGTTCCTGCAGAAGTGCTCCTCGTCCCCAGTCACCTGCCACGCCACAGGCTTCTACCCCGACAGAGCGCTGCTGTTCTGGGCTAAAGATGGAGAGGAGCTGGATGAGGATCCCGGAGAGATCCTGCCCAACCACGACGGAACCTTCCAGACCAGTGTGTCCCTGGACCTGTCCTCTGTCCCAGCTGAAGACTGGAAGAGGTACAGCTGTGTGTTCCAGCTCTCTGGAGTCACAGAGGACCTCATCACCAGACTGGACTCAAGCAAGATCCTGAGCAACGGTGAGACTGGGGCTGGAGCTGTTGGAGACCAGGCAAAGGGTTCAACTGTCACATTCATAATAATCAGATTTGAGTGGATTTAGCCACCTCTCCCCCACTCAGGGGAAAGTCCTAATCCTGTCTGCATGTGCTTCTTTCACTCAAAGACACATTACAATATAAAGTGAGTGTGAAGTCTGGAGCTGCTCAAACCACAGCTGCCCTGGGGCAGACACACAGAGGAGTGGCTTCCACTCTACCTCCAATCATACACTTACACTAAGAACACATTCATACACGTGACAAGGAGGTGAATATCAGCCCAAAGATGGATTCTTCAGTACATCAGCGAGGTGCTTTCAAACTTTGGTTCATCCTCAAACATCTGGACCAAATGTGTGTGTGTCATTTGGCTTCTACTATTCAGGCCCTTCTCTTTTGACTGCTGTAGATGTGACTGAACGCTCAGAGCAGAGCATTAGACATCCAAATGTGACTGTTTTTCATCCAAATGCTCAAACTTTGCATCACTGTTTGAACTTGACATAATATTTGTTTAAATCTTTCATTTATTTTGTTTTCTTCCCAGAGAGAAAGTTAAGCACCAGCACCATCACTGCTGCTGTGTTGTCAGGTGTTGGTGTGGCTGTTGTTGTTGTCACTGTTGGAATCGTCTTGTACAGACGACATCACAACAACAATGTGATATAAAAGGTAAGAACATGTGAAAAGCTTTTGTCACTATTACACCCTCAGTATCCAAACACTTTTACTGAAGTCACTGCACTGTTCATATGTCATCAATCATTTAACAAGTATCTGGAGTCAAAAAGTATGAAACTACTGTTAAAAGTACAACTTGTTCTCAGAGTTACTCAAGTAAACATGTCTGACTAAATGTAACGTTTCTGCCCCAGTGTGTAACATTTAACAAAAGTGTTAAATATTCAGTACAAGTGTTTTTATTGCACTAGAAAACCCTGAGAAACAGATATTTTTAGAGTTAATGGGCTTGCCTAGCCTGATTCATCAGCCGGTTTCACTTTGTAGAAATTTCACCACTGGGTTTTGAAGGATTCTCAGTGTGAGCAGATACTTTCTAATCCAGTGTGTTCTAGTGATTCTTGACAGAGTGACAGGCCACTGTTTCAAACCTCACAACGATCTGTTTATCAAGTCAACTCCTCTCTAATGTCGTTTATGTACAAGCAGAACTACATTTTGAGGACAACTGTCATAGTTTTATTTACTGTTGTGTAAATACTTTGGTTTGAAGAGAAGTTTAATTCATGATTGTTAAAACATTTTTTTTTGTTTATCTTGTTTTGATAGTTTCACTGAATCTGAACTTAACTTCTTTGGTGCGTTTGTTTTTATTTAGTCAGAAAAATAATTCAAAAAGGTATGTTTTGTTTTGTGTGATTAGGAATGAGAAATTGATTGCAGCTTCCTATAGTGTAAATAAATGTAGGCCAGTATGGACCAAATAAAAATGAAAAACACATTTCAGAATATTGTTGCAGTTCAAACAAATAAGACACATTTCCCTCTACAAACTTTTATTAAATGTACTGGAGCAAATCTGTCCTCCCCCAGTACAGATGTGTTGTAGAAGCAGCTCTTCAGGTCAGTCCACTGCATCAAAGTGTAAAGCTTTTTATTGTCTAGTAATCAGAAAGTGTGCAATTAGCATGCTAGTTGTGAGTTTTACCATGACTGCAAAACTCTGGCCTCTGAGAGTCGTAAAAAGTCCACAGTAGAGCATTCAGTTTACACGTCTCCATGGAGACAAGCAGGTGACACTTCTAGGACAAGTTGCAGGTCGCTAAAATAAATGCAAGTTTTTGTTTTCATGATGGTTGTTTCTTTTGCAGTGGAAAAATGTGGAAAAACATGCATTCTTACTGTGTGTGGGCTTGTCTCCCCCAAACCCTTCCTTGGCCTGGAGGAGGGCCTGCTCCTGCTGGTTTCCATGGAAATGTGTTGTTAGGTGTGATGTCACTTCCGGGTCCACGGAGCATCATATTATTTAAAACAATGGACGTGGACGAAACGTATGACTCTGAACAGGGATTACAGTGGTTTCATCCTAAAGGGTTCTTCACCTCTGACGCGAACAAGGTAAATGGTTCACATGTTAACTCTGTGGTTACATCTGAACCATGTTAACCATGGTTTACCTTTCTGCAAATATTTGTGTCACGTAAACCAATCAAGGGCCGTGTTCTGATAGGGTCTATATGAGGTCTATATAATGCTGAGACAGACGTGAACTTTCAGTCAACATGGAGGATACACTCATTGTTGCTACGGAAAATGAGCCGATATTATACGATACCAGCATGAGCCAGGACAGAGACCCGAGTAAGCTCAACAGAGCCGGACCTACACCACTCTCTGTCCCCTTCTTCTTTATTCTGGTCCCGGTCTCAGTCCTGGTCCCGGTCTCAGTCCTGGTCTCAGTTCCGTTCTGGTCCAGGTCTCAGTCCTGGTCTCAGTCCTGGTCCTGGTCCTGGTCCCGTCTCAGTCCCGGTCTCAGTCCTCTCTGGTCTCAGTCTCAGTCCCGGTCTCAGTCCTGTTCTGGTCCAGGTCTCAGTCCTGGTCCTGGTCCCGGTCTCAGTCCTGGTCTCAGTCCTGTTCTGGTCCCGGTCTCAGTCCCGTTCTGGTCCCGGTCTCAGTCCTGGTCCTGGTCCCGGTCTCAGTCCTGGTCCTGGTCCCGGTCTCAGTCCTGGTCCTGGTCCCAGTCTCAATCCTGGTCTCAGTCCCGTTCCGGTCACTGTCTCAGTCCTGGTCTCAGTCCCGGTCCTGGTCCCGGTCTCAGTCCTGGTCTCAGTCCTGTTCTGGTCCCGGTCTCAGTCCCGTTCTGGTCCCGGTCTCAGTCCCGTTCTGGTCCCGGTCTCAGTCCTGGTCCTGGTCCTGGTCTCAGTCCCGTCCTGGTCACTGTCTCAGTCCTGGTCTCAGTCCTGGTCCCGGTCTCAATCCTGGTCTCAGTCCCGTTCTGGTCCTGGTCTCAGTCCTGGTCCCTGTCTCAGTCCTGGTCTCAGTCCCGGTCCTGGTCCCGGTCTCAGTCCTGGTCTCAGTCTTGTTCCGGTCCCGGTCTCAGTCCTGGTCTAAGTCCCCTTCTGGTCCTGGTCTGGTCGCAGTCTCAATCCTGGTCTGGTCCCAGTCTGGTCCCGGTCTAAGTCCCGGTCTGACCAGCCCGCTCGATGTAGTCCAAGTTCACTATTTTTCCAAATGAAAACAGCAGACGCAGAGGACACCACACAGCCGCAGTTGATCCTTCTGAAGGGAACACGGCGACCTGGACGCGCAAATGAAGCGAATGACTCAAAACAGTCAAGCGGCAAACTAGGAGCGTTTGATGCAATTTGTTCACACAAGACACCTTCAGTGTGAACAGGACTTAACCATGTACTAAGTGTGACAGAAAGTGGACGAGGTTGAGATGAGACGCTCGGCTGAGATATCGTTGGCGGTGACTGTCAGAGATATTCACACTGCTGATACTTTGTTATGATACGTTACATTATTGAAATACTTGATACAATACATGTACACATATGTTTTTGAAAGGTTATTGTCTCTTGTTTGAGGAAAAATAAAGCTAGAAAATATCTGTCAAGTTGGCGGTTGGACCAGAAGAGACATCGTGACTTAATCCTGTGTATATAATCTTCCACAGTATGAAATAAAACACATTTATCTCCATGAAGAATGTTCCAAAGTTTGGTTTTAACTTTGTATTTTCATGGAGTCATTCATGCAGGTGACGTTACACCTCCAGAAAGTTACACACTGCACCTTTAAATACGATGATCCTTATTTGTGTCGGATGAATCTAAAATTATTGAATGAAAAATGTGACTGAATAGATTTAATAAGAGTCTAAATGTACATTTTTGAGATCAGGCAAAGCAATAATATTTCCATGGAGACAAGCAGGTGTCCAGAAAAGTTACACAGCGCCCCTTTAAAATGAATTCACAATTGGACCTTTCCACTGTACATTTATTTCCAAAAGGCTGCATATACATTTGCAAATTCTACTGTACAGAAAACATCCAAAATGTCCATAGTTCTAGATAGAATATAGCACAAAGCTGCCCGGGCGTTACCAAACATAGAGGTTCAGCACTAGAAAAGCTCTGCAGCCCATTCAATATGATCTGAAATACTTTGTCAACTAATACCTTTGAAATGTATATCGTATGTTTTATTATTTTGATTATTCATGTTTTTTTTTTGTTTTTTTTTCTCCATATCCATCTGTACAGTACAACATTCAGCATTTACAGTAGTTAAACAAGGCACGAGAATAGAGATGTGGGGGCCATGCGGAGGGCGATCCAAAGCATGGGACCAGACTACATGGGTGACAGACAGACACACGGGTAAAGTGAATGGGGCAAATGCAGAGGCTGGATTGGAGAGACGCTCAGCTGTGATTGGTTGGTTCAAATTTTTGGTACAGTTCTCCGATATCTTTTTGTGTTTGATTTTATTTCTGCCCTGATTGGGTTAGTGAAGCACTTTGAGTGTTTTGAAGGTTGGAAAGTGCTCTATAAAAATGTGACCCGTTACATATTTGCGTTTGTGACTATAGAATCATTTCCACTGTTTGTTCGTTTTGGAGCGGCCCACATGTGTCTCCGCTGTCTAAAGTGAACCATACTGATATACATTCACGACCATACCGCAGGGGCCTAGGCCACTTGGGCTCCTGGATCGCTTTAGTTAAAGGTTGTATAGAAGATTTCCCAAGGAAAGAGGAATGCAACGACTGTCCTTTTTTAAATGTTGCGCTTCGCTCTTTTTCCCCTTCTCTTCTTTCAGCAATGTCTAAAACTGACTTTCTTTTGCGGCGAACTGGTCATGAATTCTTGTCTGCCATTAAAACTAAATTTGTGCAAACTGAGAGGAAGCTACAGTTAAAAAAAGACGCCAAGAACCGCTAAACATGAACCGCAAACATAAACCACGCAATCCCAGCCCATCGGCAAGTCAGTGACGCTAGAAACGTAGGGAGTTTGATTGACAACCTAACAGCCAATAGATAAAGAGGTGCCCTTGTTATCTTTTGGCTGATGTTTATCTGCCCCCACCACGTCCACAGTTGATGGATTTTCATTATTTTATTTATTTTTTGGTCATCATAATTACAAGGCTGCTGCATTTCTATAATTCTATTTTGAACTTTAATTGACAATTTCAAACACACAAAAAAAAATCCTCCATACAACCTTTAAACCGTTAAAACTACCAAACAAGATGACAAGACTGAACAGGACGAGAAAAAGCAGATATGAGAATATAATAATGAAAATTTATTAACAAACGCTGACTTGATCTTGTGATAAACTTCCGTATTTCCAGTGATATCAACTTATGTATTGAGTCAACATGCTTTGCAAAATGAGGCCTGCCCCAGGACCCGGAGCTGTGCCCAGAGCCTGGAAACACTGGGCTGGAGGGAGTCGCTCAAAGCCCCATGTGAACCGTGCCAATGGAAAAGAGGCTACTGTAACTTTTCTGGTGGAAGGTCCGACACCTGCTCGTCTCAGTGGAGATGTTACTGCATTGCCTGCATAGACTGTATCGATGGACAAGTGAGTGTGGGTGTGGTTTTATTGTAATATTTTGCCCTTAAATCAAGTTATGAACATAATAATAATCTGAAGAATAATAGCAATAGTCCAATGAGATTCATTTGGTCTTCCGATATTTTATGTTATTAGGTTCTGTTTACAGACCAAGTTTGTTTTTTATATCTGACAGTTTTGACTGCCCACTAGCGGTCTTCCTCAGAGTGGTCCTGTATAAGTTAAGTTAACCAAACACGTCACAGCAACATCACATGACCACTCTGAGGAAGACCGCTACTGGGCAGTCAAAGCTGTCAGGTATGAAAAACAAACTCTTGGTCTGTAAAAAGAACCGAATAATATAATAATAACAATAGATCAGTTATTGTGGCTCGTTGTTAAGCGCCCAGACAATACCAAACCAGCAGTGCAGACAGGAATGGACATGTACCTTCAACATACTTGTTTCTAATTGGCTCTTTGGTTGCGCCTCTTGAATTCTACATATGGAACTTGGTTGAGGATTAGCCGCTATAACTGCTACCCTCGATTGGTTTCATTTGGCTGCAACTGAACATATAGAACAGGTGACGCCACACTCTGTGTGGAGTTTGCATGTTCTCCCTGTGTCTGTGTCACTTGTTGAAGGATGGGTGAGTAGCAGTAAACAAATGTCTCCACAGGGGGGCCATTAATGGGCTTCATTAATGTATCTTTTCTTTAAAAATGCTCCTAATGTTACTTTAAGATGCTGCTGAGAGAACTGTGCCAGATTCACAGTCTGTTCTTAAGCAGCTACATTTTTTCTTCAGTGAGAGCTGCGCTGGTAACATTTTATAATAACTACACCTTATTTAGCCTTAATAAAGCATGAACAAAGGCTTAATTAATAATGAACAAAGACTTAAGTAGTTACTAAGCGTGAATCATTATAAATTAATTACTACCTTAATTAGCACTTGCACTTAATTTGCCTGTGCTGTAAATAGTTACTCATAATTATTTCATACTTAATTACTCATGAACTAACCATTTAAGCATTTATTAATTATTAGTAAACTATGAGAGAATGATTTATTAATAATGTAATGCAATGATAATTCAGGCAGCTGTTATCTGTTAAGTCTTTTTGAGAGCTTTTCTAAAGTGAAAACTAATTATCCTTTATTAAGCATTTACTAAGCATGAATCATTATTAATTAAGTCTTTGTTCATTATTAATTAAGTCTTTGTTCATGCTTTATTAAGGCTAAATAACACATATGTAGTTATTATAAAGTGTTACTGCTACGCTTAATTCACCGGCATCCAAATACGAACGGCACAGTACTCTTTACATTTCCTTTACCTGAACATTAATACGCTGTCTGGCCAAAAAAAAAAGTTGCCACCAAAAATAAATAAATAAATAAATAAAGGTCACACACTCTAATATTTCGTTGGACCGCCTTTAGCTTTGATTACGGCATTCGCTGTGGCATTGTTTTGATAAGCTTCTGCAATGTCACGAGATTTATTTCCATCCAGTGTTGCATAAATTTCTCACCAAGATCTTGCATTGATGATGATCGAGTCTGACCGCTGCGCAAAGCCTTCCCCAGCACATCCCAAAGATTCTCAGTGGGGTTAAGGTCTGGACTCTGCGGTGGCCAATCCATGTGTGAAGATGCCTCATGCTCCCTGAACCACTCTTTCACAATTTGACCCCGATGAATCCTGGCATTGTCATCTTGGAACATGTCCAGGCCATCAGGGAAGAAAAAAATCCATTGGTGGAATAACCTGGTCATTCAGTACATTCAGGTTGTCAGCTGACCTCATTCTTTGAGCACATACTGTTGCTGAACCTACACCTGACCAACTGCAGCAACCCCACATCATTTGCTTAGTTAAATCCAGGTGGTGACTTTTTTTTTTGGCCAGTCAGTGTATGAATGTAGTAAGAAACGCCATCTGTACAGTTTTACAGCTGTAGTCTGTGATTAGAAATGACAACAAATATACATAAGCTATCAACTTCATGAGGGTTTTCATCTTTTATATAGCGTATTTTAGCTTTTTACAGCATAAAATCACAGTAAAAAGTGAGGGGAAGGGGGCGGGGCACATAGGGGTGAGCTGTGGTCATGCGGGGGGTGGAGGGTGTTGAGTCCAGTGCATACGCTGTATATATAAATGGACATAGCTTCTTCATAGGTTCTAATTAACTTCTATTAAAAAATGATGGTCCTTCGCTCTGTAACTGTTACTGTAACGCCTCATTCAGACCTTAAAATGTTCGTTTTAACCCGTTCTACATGGTCCTGGTGCTGATATGTTCCTATTTTGTCCATAAATCGAAGTATGAACATCAATAATGGACCAATCAGGCGCCCTCTAGTGTTGGACACAGGTCGGTTGCTTTGATACTTGCACCAGATTCCAAAAACAGTCCCTGGTTGCAGATTAGATTCTATAACTGGCCTCGACTGAAATCACTTAAAAACTAACTAACTAACTAACTTTAAAACTAACTTAAAATCCCTCGTTCACGTCCATATACAGTGTAAGGCCCAGCGCGGTGACCAGGAGCAGGGCTGTGTAACCCACATGGAGAGCCCACATACTGTATAAATTGTATGGTATTAGAAAGGTAATAGTTAGAGCCAGCAACATACACATCCTTTAATCTGATAATACATATTTGTTTTTAATTCTTAATTGGCCCAAACATTGAAACCACCAATCACAGCGTCTCTTTCCTCATGACAGAGCGTAGCCTCAACCAAAGCAGTCTGTTTATTAGATACACAGCCAAAATATAGGTGAATACAGAGTAATGCAAAACAAGCCACTGCTAAGCATTACACAAGCACACTTCTCAATTTTCACTCTTTGCAGGTAAAAATAAAATATATTCACAAAAAAAAATATTAAAAACTGGAATATTTGAAGTGACATAAACAGGATGCATTTGGTATAGTAAAAATAGAATTGAAAATTGTGTAAATTTCTCCCCCAACAAACCATCCCTAAATGCTGAAATAGAGTTAAAACGTGTATGAATTATAGCAAAGGTTGAAATGCATGAACACGTTATGCAATCACAGTTGTTTAAATTCATTTGGTTGCTATGAAATGGACAGTTAAGCTACTGTTGCGTGACAAAGTGAAATTTGAATGGCACAATATTTCTTACACTTAAAATAGAATAAATAGGACTCTAAAATTCTGCAAAAGTATGTTTTCCACTTTCATCTTTCGTCTGTTTTCTGTGCAACGTATACAGGGAGTGTGGCAGAGTGGTTAGCCATAGTGCGGGAGATATGGAATTTTGGGATGCAATGCCAAAACCAGAATAATACATGCATCAAGAATCTCGGACTTCCAGTCATTGCGCAATGCATACTGGGAAGGATTTTCCGAAAAAGTGAGCATCAAACCTCCATGTTTGATTTTACACTGGGATGCGTCTATGGTCAAAGCTGATCTTTTCTAGTTCTTTGAACCATATCACTTTTGTTTCTGGTTCTGATATTGTCATATTTTAGTTTTGGGATTCGGACATTGTTAATTGTGTGGTTGTTGAGTGTCCTAACAACGGAAAACAGCTCAAGAAATGTGTTTGCGAACTCCATAGATGCAAAAGGGAATCAGATGTGTGTGACTGCAAACTTCTGTTCAAACAGTTTTTCTTCCCAACGGAATTGAAAAATAGTGAAAGGTGAAGGTGATGGGCAGGATTGATCCACAGGAAGGACCAAAAAGGAAAACTTTGACTGTCTAAATCATCCCAAGTTTGCAGTGAACATTTTGTATGTGGAGCACCATCAAAGCAAAACCCCGATCCCTCACTCAACCTTGGTTACGAATCTAAAAAGTCAACACCAAAGCGAAAGGCACCAGCTGTTCACCAAGAAACAACTTCCACTGCAAAGAGACCAAGACTTAATGTTGCTGTAAAACCACAAGAACAAGAAAGTGCAGCTCAGTCTGTTTGTCTTCTGCAGCTCTCACTTAACAAACGGGATCCGGCTTTGATGGTGCTCCACATACAAAATGTTCACTGCAAACTCGGGATGATTTAGGCAGTCAAAGGTTTCCTTTTTCGTCCTTCCTGTGGATCAATCCTGCCCATCGCCTTCACCTTTCACTATTTTTCAATTCTGATGGGGAGAGTTTGAACACAGGTTTGCAGTCACACAGATCTGATTCCCTTTTGCATTTATGGAGTTCGCAAACACATTTCTCGAGCCGTTTTCTGCTCTTAGGATCCAACAACCACACAATTACGATGTCCAAATCCCAAAACTAAAATATGACAATATCAGAACCAGAAACAAAAGTGATATGGTTCAAAGAAACTAGAAAAGATCAGCTTTGACCATAGACGCATCCCAGTGTAAAATCAAACATGGAGGTTTGATGCTCACTTTTTCGGAAAATCCTTCCCAGTATGTATTGCGCAATGACCAGAAGTCCGAGATTCTTGATGCGTGTGTACAGTCAGTGGTAGAGTTAGCAATTTGGGCGGCCTAGGCGAACTTGAGTATGGGGCCCTCATTATAATGCTCTGTGTTTTTTATTTACATTTTTTATTTACTGTCTGTTTTCCCCCCATTATTATGATTATTATGATTATGATTATGATTATTATTATTATTATTATTAGTCTACTATATAATCAAGGGGGGAAAGCTTTGACAGTTAATATAGATTTGACAATCAGTGTTTTCTTTTATAAAAGTAAAATACTGTAATTTAATGCCATATTGAGAGAAAATGTAATTACTTTGAGGCCTTGGCCATTAGTGGCACTGAGGGCAATTGGTTGGGGGGCCCCTACAGGTTTGGGGGCCCTAAGCTTCCACCTACTGTTGCTTAATGGTAGCACCGCCTCTGAATACAGTTTTTTGTTTTGTTTTTTTCCCGCCAAAACAAGCCAATGTTAAGTTTCAAATAAGATTTTACACAAAGATTAGACATTTCTGAATCTGATTTCAAGTTAAAGTTGAATTTTTTATTATTGTCACTATAGACTGTATAAAAAATGGACTAAGAGAGTGCGACGTCACCCATAATGTTCAGCCAAATGAAGCTCATCGAGGCTTGCAGTTATAGGGGCGAATTTGGGGCCAAATTGTACAGTGAATGTTTGTATATGTCAACTCTATTACTGCCACTGCTCCCCATAAACCTGCACTTCTTAACCGCAATTTAGGAATATATAAAGATTGGCCACCCTCAATTCTGAACAGGAAATACGATCAGCTAAGCGTTGTGTCTCTTTTATAATCTCAAACGTTAAACAAAAAAATCACAATATGCAGGGACTAGCAGCTTTCTTTTCAAAATCAAAGCCTGAAGGTAAGTAAATGCTAAACACACAGTACTGGTATAATTGCATAAGAGGGCGTTTTGAGAGTGACTAGTTCAGCATGAAATTGAAGGGAAAAAAAACAAAACAGCGATAATAGCTGTTCTCTTTATCCAACGTGGAATGTCTAGAAATCAAATTCTTCCAATTTAGAGTACGGTACACATCGAGGACTGAGAATCAAAAGAATGTAAGTGACCCCTAGACCTTACTTTTATAAAATGTTTTTGTCTTTAAAGCTAAACCCTCACAAATATGGAAAAAAGCTATTATGCACGTGATGGAGAATTGTTAAAGGCCCTGTAGCTCATTTTTTTTCATGTATTTGGACAAACGTTGTCTTGCCCCAGTACAGATATATTGTGTAAGCAGCTCTTGAGGTTAAAATAAGTCCACTGCGTGCTCTATGCGTCTAATTATAAAGCGTTGTAGATACGATACACTGATAAGATACAATACATTTTGGTGGATTGAATATCAGCTCCCAAGATATTGGGTCTGCTGATATAACACCAATTTATAGAACAAAATGGGATAAGATGATTGTTGGCTCAAAACATCATAATATTACATTAAACTTGTATTTTTACAAGTGTTACAAAACACTTTTGGATCATTTTTAACCATAAGCCATTGTGTTTAAAAGGATTTTTTAAATTTAATTTAATTTTTTCAGTTTCTGCCCTTGTATTGGCTGATATCAGGTACTGGCAGATACTCAAAGCCATTGATTTATTGACTGATAATCAGGAAGGGCATGTTAGCGTGCTAGTTGTTCTAGTTCTTGACCATTCTGGTCTCTCAAAGTTGTTAAAACTGCTTAAACTCATTTGAATGTAAAGTGAGGAATAACTTTGGACAACTGCAAACCCTTTACAATCAACTAGTTTAATTTTGAAGATGAGTAAAAATCAGGTACGTTGCCTTTAACAATATAGATTTATTATAGTATTAGTATATTAGTATTAGTAATATCTGTGTCACAGATGAATTTGCTGCATTTATAAATTTCTAATACACACTACATTTTTTTGAAAAACAAAGAAACCTACAGTTCTCTGCACAAACACAATCTCTTCACTGAAAATACTATGCTCTAAGATATAATTTAAAATTATTGGATCAACATACATTTTTAATGACATTTTCGCAGAATGTCACTAACAAGTTTTTGATTCCCAGCCTTTGAAATTATTATTAAACATACGGAAAAAAAAGCGATGAAATTGTCCAAGTAAAATGGTCACACACATTTCTGATTGGTCTTTTGTTTTAAGGGGGCGGGTCTTGTGATGCCTTTTATGGCTCACCTCCACCTCTGACTGGTCAACTGAATTTGCTGACTCCAGTGATCCAATCACGGCTCATCTCCCCGCCCCCACTGTTCTCAGAAGGCCGTCTTTAGACCTTCCTTAGTCCCGGTCTGGAGATTAGTATGGACATTTTCATATGTTTATAGTCTTATCCGGTATATTCCGACACCTGCTCCTCCGTTTCGTGCGTTCCGAGTTGTTCTATTCGACACAAACTTCCGGTGTCTATGTGGTTAGAGTCCGATTCTTCCTGGCGGTGCTCCTTGTTGTTGGTTTTGGTGTTGTGGATTTTGCCGATTTCTTCCAGAGCGCTGGCGAGAGAGTCCAGATCAGCGCTGTCCTGGTGCCTGGCCTCCCACAGACTGAGGAGGACTGCGGACGGACTCGACTGCTTCGCAAAGTAACCAAGATTTCTGCAAAAAGAGAGAAGAGAAGAAGAAAAGATGTGTGAGACAATTGTATGCTACAGCGTCTACACAATCAATCAAAAGTTTGGACACGCATTGGTCGCGTCTCATTTCTCTTTCCTCGCTTCCTTCACCTTGATTCCTCGCCTCAATCCCCCATTTTTCAGCTGTCAATCAAATGTGTCATAGTTGCCATGTTTACATGAGAGCTTTAATTCTGAAAAAAATTATTTCATTCTGAATAAAAATTTATCCCGCTTTAAAAAGACCACGTAAACACTTAATTCCTAATGAAAATGATTATTCGGAATTAAACTTTTTCTGAAGTAAATAGGTGGTTTATTCTGATTTTAAAGACAAATTAATTTATTCCTGGATCATGTTTTCCGTTTATTCTTCTTAAAAATAATTGCAGTTATTCGGCGTATACTTTTTGTGTCGCCCTTCTGACGCAATCTGGTCGATCCACCAGTCCTGGGTTCGGACTTTCATCCACGTCTCTTTGGATTTGTGGTAGAGTGGCCGTTGACTCAGTTTGTCTTCTTCCTCTCTTCTCCAACACTCTTCCCTTCTCCTCTTCATCTGACAAACGTAAAATGTGATGACAGAATTTTCCAGCTGCTTCATTATCATCTTAATGACTGCGGAAAAAGTTGGGATCGCGTTTGTGTCCGTGGCGTAACGACAAACTGAGATGACAGAAAAGCCGGTAGCAGCTGAAGTGTGTGTTTTCTTCCGGTCGATGTAAATACGTTGGTGTCTCTGTCCAACCAGAACCTTCCCCACCTCCAGACGCTGAGCAGAATGCAGATGTGTTTTCCATCTAAACCTCAATTCGGAATTACTATTTCCATATAAACTTGAAAGAGAATACTTTAACTCTGAACAGTTAATTCAGAATAAAAAAAGTGCACGTGGCCTTTAAGTGGTGTCACAAAGAAAACCACAAAAGGAAGGACTAAACCTAAGGCAGGAGGCAAACATCAGTTAAAAGAATCAAGCTCTCAGTGAGGAGTTTATGTCCTTTCTCCTCCCTGTGTCCATTTCAAGGAGAGGAATTAAGGAGAAGGAAGCGAAGACAGAGAAATAAGATGTGGAAATTCTCATTCAGTGTCATTTTTCGTCAGGTTTTGTACTTTCGAAATTTTAGTTACTTACGGAAGACATCAAATATATGAAGCAAGAAATGTGGAATGATGTAGCAAAGGAACTAAACTAAACATTTTTTTTTTATATTTTAGATTTAAATTCCTCAAAGTATCCACACTTTGCTTTGCCGATAGCACTGCGCACCCTTGGCCTTCTCTCAGTGAGCTTTAGAATCAAGTCTCCTGAAATGGTTTTCACTTCACCGTTGTGCCTCATCAGGGTCAAGGAATACCAAGTGTCCAAAGCAGTGACAAAAGCAAAGGTGGGCTATTTTAAGTTTATTTTTATTGGCTGCATTCCATACGCGTTCATTCATAGTTTTGACGTCTTCTGTGGGAATCTACAATATAAAAGGCAAATTTCTTTACATTTTAAAAGGGACAAAATCATTTACAAACTTTTAAAAATGTTTGTGTTTTTTTTTTTACTGTTTCCACAATGAGTGTGTTTACATGCACATCAGTATCCTGGTTATTAGCCATGTCCCGGTTATGTGAGTATCCTGGTTATGTCAGTATTCGGGATACTGTGTGTACATGCGCCTGCCATATCCCTGTGACATGATCTTGACATAATCTTACAAATGTGCAAGTGCAAAAATTATACATTTAATAAACCAGGAAAAATACGAACAACCACGAGCTGCTCCTTTAGCAGAGGAAGCTCGGGAGGTTCTAACCAGCAGTAAAGAGCTCTGATTCACCACACACATCAAACCCAACTTTCCAAACACACTGCAGCAGAATCTTAATTAAAATGTTCTGCTTAAATAAACTCAACTTTATACAAACCATAACCACATCAGCCTGTTTGATCAGATAATTCAGCTTTGCCACATTTGTTTGTTTTACAGGAACAAAACTTAAAAAACACATGGCTCATTTTCCGTCAGCTTCTATCGGACTAAAGGACACGACTCAGTGGAATGTGAGTGTTCTCTCTGTGACAGAGGCTGATGAGTCTGTTCTGTGCATATATATCAAGTTGGAGATGGTTCATGTTAAACTTTTCAGAGATTATAGATTATCGAGTGCAGCACAGCTCTTTATTTAAATGGTCACATTTTTAAATTGTTCTTTTCTACCTTCAAGGCACTCCACAACAAGGAACCACTCACCCATTCACACACACATGCATACATCAGTGTACACAGACACTGGGGGTGAAGTGTCTTGGCCAAGGACACAACGGCAATATTTACCTGTGGGTTGATGAATGCTGAATGCCGTGATATTTTTTTTTTTACCCATTAACCTTCAGATCAGTGGACGAACACCCTACCAACTGAGCTACTATTGTCACGTCACTCATGTACGGTCACTTTATTTACTGTATGTTGGTCACTTTATTTATGTTGGCCACTGTTGTGATTTAAAGACTGAACGTATATGTCCTTTTGGACGCATGCGCACTGCACTTTATGTTGCAATATCCAGGATACTGCGTTTACATGCCACAGTATCCCGGTTACTATCAGAATATCCCAGCTACAGTATCCCAGTTTCTCATAACCGGAATACTGCCTTATTCGGGATACTGAAACCGGGATACTGCGTCTACATGCACCTTGACGAAACCGGGATACTTAAAAAACCTGATCATACCCGGGATATTGATGTGCATGCTCATTGTGAAAACAAGAGAAAAGGTAAAATGCTTATTGTTGTCAAAAAAATAATAAACTTGTAAAGGCATTAAATATACACGTTTTTTTTCTTTTGGTCAAAATAAAATAATACTGTATATACCGCATTTATGTAACAAAAGAAAACCCTTATTTTAATCTGAAACTGTAAATGTAAACTTGTTGTTCATACGCTGCTTTTCTTTCTTAGAATTCTGTCATTTTTTAATAGCGTTTGGTGTTATAAGTACATTTTTACTTCAGCCTGAACCCTTTCTGTCTTGATCCATGGGGTTGTAGTTTATGTTTTGTTCTGTTTTGTTTTTGTAGTGCTGCAAAATGCCCAAATAAACTACAACTACTACTACTGCTACTGCAACCTGAAACTGCAGTACACAAATATGGCCACTGGAGGGAAGTGTTGCACCGTTTTTGACACCACCTCCACATAACACTGAAGAAAAAGGGAGTGCCCAGATTCATACATACAGTCTAAATAAATGCATTTTTATGAATATAATATAATATTGGATCCAACATTGTATCAAAAGAAACAATAAGATTAATTAAAACAATACTATACTATTTGTTACATTCACATCTATATTGTGGATAAAATAGCCACACAAATGAACAAAGAGAGACAGAGAAGAGACTTATATTAATGTATTAAGTATAAGAATAAAGTTGGGCAGTATAATGTCTTCAGGATAATACTAAAATTGGTGTTTTACAGATCAAAATTTACTCCTGTGAGCTTTAAACCATGTTATAATGTTGTTACCTCACCAAAAACAGAGCTGGAGTTGTGTTTTTGTTTCATTCACATGTTAGAATAACCTTATTATGAGTCTGTTTACATCTACAAAGCTCAAAATGCTCGGGTCCCCGTTGTGATGTCATGAAGCGGTAGGTAGTTTTCAAGTTAACATCTGCTTTTTAAAGACTGAAATGATCTGAATGATTCTAGCGAAGGTGTGTGGAGTTTAAAAACATAGCGGAGCAATTCCTGTATTACCACATGACATCACAAGGTGGAACCGTGAAAAGAACAGCCTGAATTTGCAGTATTAAATATGTGTGGATGAAAAAAATAAAACAAAACAAAACTCCAGGTCTGTTTTTGATGAGAGGAACTAGTTGAAGTTGAATGCAAATGTGAGTGATTATTCAGCATTTCAGTATTTTTCGGGGCAAATAGTCGCTCATATTTGTGGTAAATGTATTATATTCATGTGAGCAGTTTTGTGGAATAGCTAAACTGCATGTGTGGGCAGAGCTCTGTTTTCCTTACGGCACTTTGAATGCATCACCGCTAAATAAACATGTAAATGAGTTTCTACAGCCTCATCTGAACCTATGAGAAATAATGATCAGGAACACAAGGACAGAGCCTCGTGTATGTGTAGTAACTAAACCCCTGTGTCACAGTGGAGCCACTCCGTATCAGCGTTTAAACCATCATACGCCTTTTATTTGAACTGGATACATGATCGATTTTTATAACATTTCACTTTTTCAATTAAATTTTTTATTACAGTATATACTTTAATACTTTTTTTTTTTTTCAAAATGTCACACTGTGCTTTGAAAATTATAATTCCAAAAAGTGAAAATCTATCTATTTATTTCAGATAATTCTCAAGGTGATGCAACAAGCCTTGAGCGGGCACAATACAGAGAATGTTACATTCTGATGTCCATTTTTTAAGGTGTGCACAGAGCCACATCACTTCCATGTTTATTACATTTGGATTTGTACATTTTGACTGAAATAAATCTTTCAAATAAAAGTAGTAAGGGTTGTGCAATTATTCAGACCAAGATGTGTAATTTATTTGAGAAATAACTGCACTTAGAGCGAATTTTTCAATTGTTCTGAACACAGACGCTCAGAACATCGACCATTTTGACTCACTACACTTTTTGACAAAGTTTGGCCCAATCAAAATGGATGGAGCGCATGAGTTTGGCGGAAAACAAAGTTCCTATTGGACACTCATTTTCCCAACATCGGTTGTGGCCATACCAGTTTGTCAACCCAGCCTGATCTCGTCAGAAGCTCGTCAGAGCCGGGACTGGTTAGTACATGGATGGTAAATGGTCACATTTTTCTATAGCACTTTTCCACCTTCAAGGCACTCAAACGCTTTACAACAAGGAACCACTCACCCATTCACACACACATTCACACACCAGTGTACACAGACGCTGTGGGCAAGGTGGGTTAAGTGTCTTGCCCAAGGACACAACAACAGCATTCATCTGTGGGAGCTGGAATCACACCAGCAAACCTGTGTGTCAGTGGATCTGACCACTCAACCTGTGATGTTTATGTTGAGAGATAAAACTGCCAACCTTCAGATCAGTGGGGGAATGCGCTACCAACTGAGCTACTGCCGCCCAACTTGGATGGGGGACTGCTGGGAATTCTAGGAGCCACAGTGGGGTCATTGTGTCCTGAGGCAAGGCACTTCACCCACATTGCCTAGTATGAAAGCGGTGTGTGTGTGAGTTATGGTGGTGGCTAGAGGGGCCAGAGCTTGGCAGCCTCATTTCTGTCAGTCTGCCCCAGGGCAGCTGTGGCTACAGTAGTAGCTTACCATCACTGAATGTGGAGTGAATAAACAATGATCTGTAAAACGCTTTGGGTATCTTGAAAGGTACTATATAAATGCAATGATTAATTCATAAAAAAAAATTAAATAAAATTAATAATCACGCAGTGTGTCATGTAGAATAATGCTGAAAAGTAGAAAAACCTACGTTTCTATCTTTTATGGTTGGAAAGTTATGCGAGGTGACATAAAACATATTCCCACCATTGGTCTGGAAGGATTTAATGTAAAAAAGAAAAAAAACAACAACTTCCATCACCGCTCAGGCCCCCTGGTGGTGGTCGCGCACACACTCACTGGTCCAGGTGCAGCAGATAAATAAATGAAATTAATGAAAAACTATCCACCTCATGTAAACCCCAGCAACCACTTCACTCTTTAGCAAAGTGCAATTACTTTTTTGTTTGACCAGAACTGATTGAAAGACACAAATAGATTCTGAAATGATGAAGAATAAACTAAAGTGTTCACCTCATTTAAACCCGAACAACCACTTTCCTCATTAGCAAAGTACACTGTTTGATCAGAATTGAGAGAAAAAATTAAAAATAAATCAATGAATAAAAACTTCTCCACCTCATAAAAACCCTCTGAGCCACCTCTCCCTCATTAGCACAAATAACATGACCATGGCCCTGACTGCTCTCGCCCCCTGGTGGTGAACGCCCGCTCCTGCACACTGACCGGTCCAGGTGCAGCTTGCGGGCGAGCAGCTGCCAGTCGTTGCCCGCGGCGTTGGCAGTGTCGAAGGTGGCGCAGATCCTCTGGTGGATGGAGGGGGGGATCCGGAAGGCGCGCGGCCCGCTCTGGGTGGTCACCGTGCAGTCCGACTGGCTGAAGAATGGCAAAGGCTCCTTTTCACTCTGGAAGAGAGAGAAGAGAGAGACAGGAAAGTGAGTCTGAGTCAGGAGGAGAGAGAGAAAAGGCTGATGTTTGTGTGTGGAGTAAGAGGAAGAAAGAAAATTGATTAAAGAAGTATTGAAATCAGATACTAATCAATGCTAATACTACTAAAAATAATATCTTCCATTAGGAGTCGTAGCAAGTTTTCAAGACACCGAAGTGCTTCACAATAACACACAGAACACTCAGACACACACACACACACACACACACATACACGAGTGCGGTTAGGTGGGATTAAAGGTCAGTTTAAACAGACATGTTTTGAGAAGTGATTTGAGTTGATCAGTGGTTTCTGCAGTTTGTGTGGAGGGAGTGTGTTTCAGAGTGAGGGGGCCGGACACAGAAGGCTCTGTCTCCCATGGACGTCATTGCCATCGATGATGAGCAGCAGGTCTTCAACCTTCTGGAGCAGCTGACTTTGAGAAAGTTGAATGATAAACAAGACCAATGATCAATGAAGCAGTTGCAGAGAACCTAAAACTAGTATCGAAACTAGATATAAGCAGGTACCGGTACTAAAAAAGTCACATTCACAGGACAGAAATGAACCTCCTCAATGTCTTTAGAATGATGCTGAGCTGTATCAGAACATATAAGAGCACATAGACTAGTATACACCCATGGACCACTCTGGAACCCACTTGGACCAGAGTCCTGCACTGGATCGGGTGCAAATAGGTGCTGAAATGGGTGGGGTTTAATGTTCTGGAATTTTACAGCGGGTATGCCGGCCGGTGGTAATTACACACGGGCAGGTCAGGTGAATCAACTGAACAATGTACGGGAGAAAAATACCTGACGCACGATCAGCGCGTCCGTTGCCCTGGAAACAAGTGACATTTGGCGTTTTTTTCCAGGAACAATGGACGAGGCTGAGAGACTTTAGTGTTTTATTACATAAAATCATCAGCCGAGGTGATCGGCTCGACGGCTGCGTTCCTGGTTTAGTCCTGGTTCAGTCCTGATTTATACCTGGTTAATTCCTGCTCCAGTCCTGGTGTAGTCCTGGTGAACGGCTCGGCAGTTGGTGGTGTGTATATATTTATAATCCGCTAATGACACAGTGTAGGTTTAGTCCTGGTTTAGTCCTGGACTATTGGGCTGTCGGACTAATGGGCTGACCCTGATTTATCACGGGCACATGTGGGTAAGGGGTGGAATGTTAAGGGGTTTGGGCGGGTGCGGGTTAACTTTGATAGAATCACGGGTTAACGGGCAGGTGTGGTGCTGTTCTGTGCGGGTGTGGGCAGGTGCGGGTCTCCAAAAATAGACCTGTGTAGGACTCTGACTTGGACCATTGAGGGATTACTAATGGTATCAAATATCACCGTCCAATCCATGAAAATTTGCTGGATCATATATCGACTTCAAAATATTGGTTCTGCTTATATCAGACCTGGACATTGTGCCACTCTGACTCTGCCCGGCCTGTTTAAGATCATTTGGACTTACAAAATAAACATATTTTATCATTTTACCTCATGCATGGACTAAAACTGCATTGCTTTTATTTTAGAGGTGATTTTTAAATGACATTTTCTGTAAGGCAACCTCACTTTTTCATTGTTCAGGTGTGTTTAATGTTTACAAGGATTTAAAAAAAAAAAAATTTCATAAATTTGTTGCTTATTTGAGAATATTTTATTTAACTTATTATTATTACCAAGCAGCACATTTATTTTATTTTCCTGTTTGTATAATGGTTTAATAAGAAACACAAATAAACAACAAGTAAATGGATTTGCATTTTGTTCCCAAACTGAACTGAAAATTAACCGAAACTTGACCTCAAAACCGAGGTACTAACTGTAATTTCTGTGAACTGTCACACCCCTAGAAATGGTGTTGATTCTGTTCTTTAGTATCGAAATTGAGTTTTAAATTTTAGTATCGTGAACAATAAAGAGACAAACAAACAAGACAGTCGGTTGAGAAGGAAGGGAGGATGTTTGTGTTAAAGTTGTGCGTCAAGAGAAGAATATACAATAGATATGGAGAGGTGAAAACTGACAGCAATAATAAGCGAGGGAAGAGGGTGCAGAAAATTCAAAGAGAAGATAAGAGAGAATGTTAAAGATTCACTGTGTAACTTTTCTGGTGGAGGCAGGCTCGGGAGAAGAGAGAGACAAAGAGAGAGGAGGCAGACGTTTGTGTGTGCGGAGTAAGCAAAAAAAGGGGGAGGAGGAGAGACAGAGGGATGGAAATAAAGAAGAGAGATGGAGAAGGATATAAGGGAACACAAACAAGTCAGTCATTTGAGAGAGAGAGAAGGAGGGGGTTTTAAAATGAGAGTGTCAAGAGAAGAGAAGAAGATAGAGATGGTGGGATGGAGAGAGAGATATATGGAAATCGAGACTAAGAATAAGCGAGGGGAAAGGGTGCAGAAAGAAGATGAAAAAAAAAAAAAAAAAGACAGAGAATGATAAGTTGCAATGCGTAACTTTGATGGAGGAACACACAAATTTACTGGCGCTAGGAACACTCCTGGTGAGAAAAGTTCCATACTGCACCTCAGCACGTTATTTAACTGTATCTCAAAGCTGAAACTAACTTGGTTTAAAACGTAAAATATAAAACAAACAACATACACAAATAGAAGTGAGTTGACCATTCACCTTTGAGCACATACTGGACTACTGAACTGTGACACGACCAGGACCAGGACTAAATCAGGACCTAAACCATCGCCTAATCCCCTCATTACGACATGTCACCATTTTCCGACGCTTTTTAGTAGCGCTATTCCGACATGTCATGGTGTTCTCCACAGATCGCCTACATGACCAGATGAATGAAGCACAAAGGGCCAGGCAGGCTTCGTTTTAGATTAGGTATTTTCCCAAAGGCTGGTCTATGCTCTTTTAAAAAAAATGCACGATCGTTTTCCCACAGCGATCAGTTAGGACATTTTCCCACTGTCTGAGGCTACGTTTATATGATGATGGTCTGAACAGAAGATGCAAAAGTGGCGTTGAATCTTCACTTTTTATTTAGTGTTTAGACAAGTGTTTTCGAGAGGAAATCTGCGTGCATACAGTGATGCAAAAGTGTGTGGAAATGGTTTGGGTATCACGCCACGCATTTTCATCAGCTACTCCTTCCCTCCTTCCATAAAGTTGTCCCATCATCGACTGGTTCTCCAGGTCTCGTGCATAGTCGTGTGGCTCACCTGCGACCAACTGGTGCATCCAGAATTTGACAGAGGTGAGCTTAACGCTCAATTCAAATTTTTTTGTGAAATCCGATGTCGTTCACATTTCCAATTAAATGCGACTTGTATGTGATCCCCTGTGTGAACGTTAAATGGCCCGAAAGTGTCCCTCATGTGCACTGGAGGACACGATGACGTCAACCGCAGTGAGCGTGCTCTGTGTTTACGGAAGTTGTCCAAACATGGAGGCAGCATTGAGCACCTGGAAATTTTAAAGTTCCTCTCGTACCAGAGCCAGAACATGAACAACTTACTTGTTTTAAGGAGGAGATTGAGAAGGAGAAGGACGAGGTTTTTGCGTTTTGTGGGGCAGTGGCAGCAACGTCCGTTGAAAGGAACGTGTAGATGTGGAGTCGTAGCCAAGAATGTGCTTTGCTTCAGTGACACGGAGTTCATTAACAATTTTTGCCTACTTCAGTGCAGAATAGTGACGTTTGTGGCTTGTTTAACCTGTAGGTCGGATTCATGCGCTTTGACTGTTCAGACTGAAGTCACATGTCAAAAGATCGGATATGTATGGGTTTCAGGAGCACAGATCCAAGTGGCCTGGGTCGCATTTGAAAAAATCGGATCTGTGTGGTTCAGACTGTCATTAAAAGATCAGATACAGGCACATAGGGGCCAAAAAAAATGGATTTGGGTCACTTCAGGCTGCAGTCTGAACGCAGCCTAATAGTATCTCCGCAGATTCTGTACATTTGTTGGGAGCCTCCTGTAAGTTTATTAGAGCAACTACAAAGGGCCCATGCAGCCTTCATTTTGGATTAGATATTTTCCCAAAGGCTGGCCTATACTCTTTTTTTTTTTAAATGCACGACCGTTTCCCACAGCGATCAGTTAGGACATTTTTCCACTGTCTGAGGCTATATTTATATGATGACGGTCTGAACAGAAGATGCAAAAGTGGTGTTGCATCTTCACTTTTTATTCTGTGTTTAGATGAGCGTTTTTGGGAGGAAATCTGCATGCATACGGTGGTGCGAAAGTGTGTGGAATTCGATTCTGTATGTTTGTACTTAAAGCAACAAGAGCATCTTTGGACATACGGAAGTTTTCATGGCACACATTTTCATCAGCTACTCCTTCCACAAAGTTGTTCCACCATCGACTGGTTCTCCAGGTCTCGTCCATAGTCGTCTGACTCGCCTGTGACGAACTGGTGCATCCAGAATTTGACAGAGGTGATTGCAGATCCTTGTCTGTTCACTAATAGTATCTCTGCACATTCTGTACATTTGTTGTTTTGCCTCCTGTAAGTTTATTAGAGCATCTTGAAGATCTGACGCATGGAAATGATCCGACATGTTTGTTTCTGTGTACTGTATGTATGTGATGTACACGCGTACGCAACGTGAGCAGATCAACACAACACAATCAGCATCCGTTCTGCTAATGAAACTTCTGCACGTCGCATGGGGTTTGTTGAGTTGTTGTGTACAGTTTTGTATCGCGTTTTTGTAATGAATTTTCTTGTGGGAGCATTTTCCAAATTGTGACGTAAACTTGTGCGCGACTTCTGGGCAATGGACCGAATCTTACAACCAAAGATAAAAAGGGTTTGAATAGGGTCCAGGAGAGATCACTAAATTACTGAAACATGTATGGATGATCTCAAACCTCTTCGGATATGTTTTTGGATGAGGAAACAACAGCTGGAATCACAAACAAACAAACAAAAACAAAACTCTGTGAAGGTGCACTGTGTAACTTTTTTGGTTGGGGATACGTCACCTGCTTGTTTCCATG